ATAACTTTCTTGTCACATTTTCGTTCTCTGTACTTCTATTCATGGCGGTGCTGTTTACATCGAGGTGCAGGACTTTATACTGGAGTTTAAAAAATAAGCCCACAGTGAGTAAAGATGCACCAGGAGCTAAAAACGCCCCCAAGTTCTCGGGGTTCAGAGGGTGAATGTCTGATGATCAGCTCAGTTTGTCTAATGATGGAAAAACAAATCGGCGTTATCTTCTATGTGCTCAGTTACAGTACTGAGGCCCTAAAGTGCAGAACTATCGATCTCAGAGGTCAGCTCACTCCATCAATCCCTCTGTGAGGAAGCCATTCATCAATCCGGCCGATCAATGCCTTTGATCAGCTGTGACCGTTTCATGTCTCGCGCTGGCAGGTTAAGTGGACGAGAGACGTATCGATCGCAATCAGAGCAACAGTTGATAAAACTTCACTCTCTCCCTTCTTAACCCTCGGCCCGTTTTTTGTTTTTTTTCTTCCCCTTCACACAAACAAACCAAACCAAAGTCTCGCCTGAACGCCTGAACGCCTCTCTCTGCCCGCACAGGTGGACAACAGCACGACCAGGGAGTCGGCGCCGAGGAACAAGAGCGCGTCGTCCGTCATCGTCACCTCCATATCCAGTCCCTCCATACTGCATAGTCCCCCCGGTTTCCATGGCAACCTCAAAATGACCAAAACCTGCAGCTCGGTCACCAAGGAGCCGCTGGACATCGCCCGGCTGGAGACGACGGTGCTGCCGTGAGCAGAGGCGGAGCGTCGACCCGTCGGTTCCAGCATGCTGTCGGCTCGCTACGGTGTCTCAGAACCACAGAACCACTTCTGTTCTCTTTTCGTTTTTCTTTTGCATGCGGTGTACCGTAAACGTACGTGAGCGTGAGCGTCCAGTGGATTTCTATATCTGTTTGCACACATGTTTTTCTGACATATCACGGTGGCTGGAGATGGTTTACCTCAGAGCTGGAAGCAACAAATTCGCCTTAAACACACAATGTGAAGGACCGCCAGACTTCTACTGGTTCTTGGTTCAGCTTCTTCTCCACACGTTGTTTGAGATAAAGAAACCAAAAAATATGGTTTGCTATGAATTCTTTTTTTTTGATAAGTAAATTCTCCTTTATCTGGCCGTGCACTAGCTGAATGGTTGCTCTGTCCTCGTTTGGTACAATAATATTATTTGGTTTCGGCGTATTGAGGGAGAAAAGTGTTCCGGTTGTTTTTGCACAGTGTCTATGAGCCATACCTTCAACACCACACAGCCGGTGTTAATGCAAACTGAAGCAGCCACGCAGACGGAAACGCAGCAGGTTCACGCTTTAGACTCACGAACTGAATCGAAGAGACATTTTTGGAAACAAATCTGTGGCTCATATTGGTTTAGAATCAGTTCTTTTGCTTTTCCAAATGCACTGGAGGATTTGAGAAAAATGCCGACTACGTGCGAGAACCAACCCCAGAGAGGCCTCGTCCACACGTAGCAGGATTTTTTAAAAACATATCCTGGCCCCTCCATCTAGAAATAAACTTACGTACACACCAAAAATTCATCCACATCTAACCACATGAGCGCGTTGTTCAGCACATTCATATTCTACATGAGGACGTAATAAATCCGACAATGGGAGTGACGACCGGGACGTACGGAAATCGTCACGCCATTCCTCCAGGAGCACGATTTCCATCTCAAAGTTCTCCCACCAGCTCCCACCCGGTCTGACCCAAAACCGGCGTCGGTGTCTTTAAGGTAGTACATGCCTCGGACGTGGAATGGCACGGTGGTGGAAAATAACCGTCCTTAACGTCGTCCTGTGTTCTTGTACGTGGAGCGGTATCTGGGCCTGGACCAGAGGCAACACAGTTCTGAGGGCGTCCACGCTGTTTCCAAATGTAAACACAGGTCGCATATGTGATGTAAAGAACAGATTTAGTTGCAGGTAGTGACATATCGAAATCTAAAACACGGTTATTGACGTCCACATACAGACGCATAAACGTAGATCTTCACTTTGGTCGGTTGTTTTTAATGCCGTGAATCTGTGTTTTCGTGTGGATGAGGAGCCACATTGTAGGAAAATACCTTCGTTTTGTGAGACACCTGCTACGTGTGGACGAGGCCTGAGAATCAACACTTTGCAGCTACATGCGGATTGAAGCCACTTGAAGCTTGTTGTAAACTGGTTCAACACAAGCTAACTGCTCTCACTAGAAGAATATCATGTGTGGAAATCTGCTGAAGGTTCAGACTAAATGTAAAAATGAAGAGTTCATTCGCAAAAACAGATAACTCCATTTTTGTAGATGTTCAGAAAACATATTTTTGTTGTTGTTTGCTTGAGATAAGTCCTGCAAGTGGCTCGGTGGCTCGGCCTAGAAGGTCGCCGGTTCGCATCCCGGTGAGGATCTTTCTGCGTGGAGTCTCCATGTTCTCCCCGTGCAGCATGGGTTCTCTCCGGGTTCTCCGGCTTCCTCCCACAGTCCAGAAACATGTTGAGGTTATATGGTAATTCTAAACTGTCCATAGCCCTGTGATAGACTGGTTACCTGTCCAGGTGAACCTGCCTTCACCCTGAGTCAGCTGGGATAGACTCCAGCCCCCCACGACCCTAGTGAGGATTAAGGTGTAGAGATGATGGATGGATGCTTATTGTCTCAGATAGACGACAGAAAAGTGGGTTTTCTGGAGGTTTGTGGAGATGGAGATATCTGTTTTTGCAAATGAACTCTTCAGAACAACAGGAAGTAGGTCCTTCAGAATAAGACTTTACCGACTGATCACACAGAAAAACATCCTGCGTGTTAGCCAAGAAAAACTGGCCTCTTGTTTCAGTTCTGCTGCCTCTCAAAGGCCAAACAGCTTTAATAGAAGGCGTTTACTTGTAAACTGGGCAATCAGCCACAGCACCATGTGAGAGGACAGGAGAGGATACAGTCAGTTTGTTGCCCCCTCTGGCTCTCTGCTATCGATTTTTCCATTCCTGGTGACATCTAGTACCACAGATCAGACTCATCAGTCCAGTGCATCAACCCAGACACGGTGTCCTGGTATCTGGGGTTTGCATTCCTTTAACATCTATACATACAAGCGACAGTTTATTAAATGACCTGTTTTTATAAATGTGTGGTTTCCGGATCGTCATCGATCTCCTCAGCATCCCTCCGTCTCCACTTCCCTTTGAGACTCCTCAGACTGCTGCGTCATTGACTATGATTGTAATAATTATTTTTCCTTCACACCTCAGAATGACTCGTTATTTGTTCAAAACGATGAACGACTGAATTCAAATCTTAGTTATCGAGGCCACAAAGGTCGACGCCGTTGCTCATCCGTCCTGCAGCGCCCATCGATGAATGTATGAACTCCATCCGTTTAGAACGTCGTGGCTTTACTACAGAACAAATATTAATATTATGAATATGTTCGATTTTAAATTCCGCTTTAACGAAGTGATCGATTTTATGAAGTGACGGTTTCATGTTGATTTCGTTTTTCTTTGTACAAAATGTTTTGTGTTTTTATTTATTTTTCTAAATAAAAATGTTGCGAAATCCTGCAATACGTCTGAGTTTCTGCCTTTCTGGTTCTTATTTCGGTTAATAATTTAGCTACGGGTTATTTTCTCAAGTGATTTTATGGTCAAAAAATGTCAGAAAATTGTAATTAATTTTGTTAAGGTGAAGTCCAGAGCTAATTATCATAGTTTTATCAAGTTATAAAAGCTGCAACGAGTGATTTTTTTTATTCTTTTGCTGCTAATTAAGCCTTTTTAAATAAAACAATCAATTAAGCATCTACATCCACCACATGTATTTAGATGTTTTGACATTTTCTGACACAAGAAGGCAAAAAAAAAAAAAGTCTTATCTGAATTCAAGAACATTTATGTGCATGATGATTGTGGTTCTGCAGCTGTTAACACATCTGTCCATCAACATGTGGCTGACCGATATTTCAGCTTTGTGAATCCAAGAAATCCATCCAGTGCAGCAGACAGCAGCAGGAACATCCTGATGTCAGACAACAGGCTGGAATCAGAGCTCACATTCTGGACGGTCCTGGTGAACCCGAGGCCGGCCCGCAGCACCACGGCACCCTGCAGAGGTGAAAGCCGGTACTGGATTTGCATAAGTGCAGGTTTGTGAGTGTCATTTCCATTCATCGGGGGAATGGAATTTTCTCTCAGTCTCAAATTCGGGGTTGCCTCAGCGGCACAAGTGTAATTTAGTATTAGCATTTAGCGCCGCAGTGGAGATGTCATTCTTCCACATTTTGCAGGAAAGCAGCAGATCCTCCACTTCAGCTAAAGCAGAAAAGCTGCAGCGTGAAAATGAATAAAAATGAAGACACAGAAAATGTCACTTAAAATATCCAACAGAGGCGAGATGTCTTCAGTCTGCAAAGAACTTAGATTTATTTTACTTCATCGTGTCTTATTGGATTAATACTAGTGGGCAGTGCATCAGTGTTCATCACTGTGTAGCTAAATGCAGAGTAAAACCTCCAAAAGTACAATATTATCTTTATCATGTCCTGCAGGAGGAGCATGGA